GCAAACACATTGAAGAGACGAGAAAAGATTCCAGTTATCCTGAGCTTCCCACTCCCTGACCACAAAACCACACTCTCACATCAAATGGGGAATGCAACTCAAGGGACATTTTAATCCTACACCCCTATTCTAATTAACAATCCTACTTTATCAATATTTGATGGAGCTGTTATTGTGTCTGCTCTGGCCATTTCACTTTTCAGAGAATGCTCTGAATTACAGTGCTCGAGAGCAATGCAAGAGCAATGTACTCCTTTCAAGGCAGTACAGATTGGAGCCACAGCACTTCCCTAAGGCAGTGCCTCTGCAGAAGGTCCTGCTGCAGGAGCAGCCTGTGGGATGGACTGGCAGCTGTAGCATCTGAGCATCAACTGATGCACAAAGATCTATGGACTCAGCCTTAATGACCCCTCCCCGTTGTGGCCCACTATGTCACCATTGGGTGGGAAAGAAAATAAACTCATATCCTGAAAATCAAACCGCACCAGAGACAATGTTGAGCACAACAGAGCCCAGTCATTATGTATGCCAGCACAGAGAGTAACAGTTAATGAGGCACAAAGCCAATTAGGACAAGAAAAACTCACCATTTTTTGCAGACAAAGTGTTGAAGAGAAGGAAGCAGACTACGCTGTGCTAAACACAACAGACATGCCTGGCCCTCGTCACAAACCTTCACTCATGTCACGCAGCCTCATTCAGAGGAGTATCTGGCCAGGGCTGCTGTTGGGATTGCATTTCCACAGGGTCAGGAGGTTTCTGCTGCTCCCCAAGTCCTCAGCAGCACCATCCACATGAGAGCACTCCCCCTCTGCTCTGCCATTACAAACACAGGAACTGCCCCAACAGCTGCCTTGACACGAGCAGCAATATGAACTCAGCAATTGCACGAGCTTCAACTTGCTTCAGCTAAAGTCAATTGCTTTGGGAAAGGCACCCACAAACAATTACATGCAGCTGCAGGAAAAGTAAAAGGTTCCACAATTCACATCACACTCTTTAAGGATCCTCTCTGGGAAACAGAATACTCAAAATTCTCCATCAGTGCAGAATCATTAAGATCAGACCCTGCTGCTGAAGATCTGAGACCCAGGAAAGGTGGTACAAACACATGGATCCAGAAAGGGCTTTTGTTGTACCCTCCTCAGACTCACAGTTTCTGCATGCTGTACCTTCCATCTGCAAGTGCATTTCTCGGTGTTACCCAGCTGATTTCTCTACAGCACAAGTATTCCCAAAGCAGAGGTAGGGACTGAACTATGGAAACACATTGGTAAGCTCTCCCTTTTCTGCCATATTGCACATTTTCCCAGTCTCAGGCATTATACAATCCATTATACAATGTAGTATCATAAATGCAAGTATCAATTAATATGCAGCGAAGCAGCAGAGAAGCAGATGAATTCATCCCAATTCAAAGGCTGGGAAAAATGGCTATTCATGGGACATCAGGTTGGAGTGCCAAAAGAAGCCAGACAGATCCCTAATTACTGTGTGCCTTCTACACTTAGCATCTGATTCAAAGCCCAAAGAAGCAATTAAAGACAGCTAACAATTACAGGAGGCTTTGGTTCAGGCCAATGGAGAACCTGCTCCTAGGGAGCTCTGTCCTTCCACATTCCAGCAGGTTGTGAGGGTCATGAGACTGTCAAAGGTCAGAAAATCCATATAGAGAGGGAATAAGTCCTGAATAACAGCTGTCCAGTGAGTCAAAACCACTGGATCATGAAAGCCTTGAGAGAAATTTTATGTCATCTGTTCTGTCTTTAGAGAGAAGAAAAGATGCAATGGCATTATCTTTTCACAGCAATGATACAAGCACGGAACAGCAAACAGATGGAGGTGTCATAACAAAGTGTGAAACAGAAGAAAGAAAAAAGTGAGAGCCCCTCTGCTTGAGATCCTTGTGCTGTGAAATCCTGTTTGTAGTTACCTGTCAGAAAAATGCCTCAATTACTTGAGGCTGGATAAGTACAGGTACCTAACCTCATAGCCAGAGGATCTGACATCCCCCAAGGATGGGCTGGGGATCCACACCATGGAGCAGGGCAGGTCCTGGCGCTGGGCAAGGTGAGGGCTACAGCACTAGCACAGCAGACCCACAGCTTGGTGTTGGAAGCAGCCCCAGAATTAAACTGCTTGCAGAAGTATTCATGCAAATTCTGAGTAGCTGAGCTCCTGAGAGGTGCCAAGTGACAGAATAATGCTTTGGGTTGTTTGTTTCCAGGAGGAGAAAAAACAAAGGGAAAGTACAGAAGAAAAACATCCCAAAAGTGGAAGGAACTAAACATTATCAAGATAAAATGGAAAAGGCTCAATACAGTTTATCAAAGACTATGTATCCCTGTCACAACACATGCCAGCAAGGTTTAACTGAGCAGTGTGGATTTTGAAGGACACTGTTTCATCTATTAAAGGTTTAGAGATGTTACAACTTCGTCTTTTTGCCAGGAGATACTTTATTAAAATTGCTGTAAACAGTAACTTGTTCAAGCAAAGAGGAGGCTCTTCCTGCCACGAGCTTAAAAGGATGTTAGCCTTCAATTCTGTTTTTGAAGAATGTTTCAGATATTGATTTCTACCTCATACCCAACGTAAGTTATGTGTTCTTCGCAGTTCTGGTGCTCAGAGCAGAAAGCAGCAGCATTTTCCCAAATCTCTAAACAGATCTTTTCTAACACCATGTCCTCTGAACAGATCTTCCCAATACTTCTCCAGCAGCTGTAGCAAACCAAAGTATTTGGCAATACTGAATTACTCAAAGAAATCTGAGCCTTCTCTCTGTTCATAGGTCTCCCTCAGGGCCCTGAGTGGGTTGCAATAGCACAGACAGTTGCTCTAAATAGCTTGGATCCAAACACTCTACTTGATGGTGATTAAATATATAAAATGTTACACATCCAATGTTCGAAACGCAAAGGCCCAGGGCACCTCAGCAATGCTTTCCACACAGAGCAATTATAGCACTGGAAGTACTGGAAATACCATCATGTGATCCAGTCACAAACTACTGATCTAAAGAGAAGGAAGTTAGAACAGAAAGGAACAGGGAGAAAGTTCAAAATGTATGATTGACGTTTTCGCTTTTAATTCCATTTAAAGCCAGTCTTTATTGCAGACCCCTATGAGCAAACAGTTGTACACACTCAGCTGACACACAGACACTGTTCCTAGGAAGGATGGCAGTTTAGGCCATTCAAGGCAGAGCTTTTTTGCTGCTACTGTGAGATCTGTACCCTTTAAAAGTTAGGGTTTTTGCTTTGAAAAGGCTGTACTTTACAAAGATGTTGCTAACAGAGGAACTGAATATATGATACTGCAAATTGATCAGAGGAAGTGAATATATGGTACTGCAAATTAATTAGACTTTGTTATATAGTTATACTTTTTTCCTAATAGAATACTAATCCTGACAGTTGGCACTGATTAGTATGTTGGAAGTGGTTCTCAGGAGCTGCTGACTCACTGGGCCATGGTCCCCACTGTTTCAACAAACTACAGAAACAGGCAAAGCAAAAGCACAGACAGGGCAAAACCCATCTATGGCTCATCAAGGAATTTAAATACATGAAAGTAAGTGTGGCTTTATAGTCCTTTAATTATGCATTGCATCTGAATTATGTATGGAGCAGAGGGCATGCAGGAATTCTGGTGGAAGGAAGCAGCGCTGTGCACTGGCACTTCATCCCCAGGATAAGACATGACTTATCCTGTGCTCTGCACCAGGCTCTCTCCAGTTTAAGGAAGCCTGCCATTCCCAGACATTTTGCACAGCCAGTCTCAAGGAAAGGAGCTGTCTCATCCTGCTCAACAATCCCTGCTGCCCCCTCAGAGAAGCACACTTCCATTGTGAGCAAACACTTCCCCTAGATCCCACTGTGCTTATTTAGCCCAAGTACTCCTCAAGAATAATGTAATCCATAGGTACTTTAAACCTATAAAACCTTACTTAATGTCAAGTGTTCAAATACAGATCATGCCTTTCATATCAGTCAGTTCTTTGTAATGTATGGCATTTGTCTAATCTGCAGTTTCACCATTCTGTTGACTGTAATGACTGTTTTTGCTACTCTAAGTCAATATTTACACCTTCACCATTTTTGTGAGGCACAGACATTAATTGCCTCTTACAATGCCACATAATCTGGCTGTAAGGTCTCTTGGAAAAAAAAGTCAACTTTAATCATTGTATCATTAGCCAACACTAACCATTATCTCAAGTTCTGCCATTGCTACTTATAGTGGATCTATAATGAATGTACACATACACAAATCATGCATGAGTACAAAAACCCCACATTCAGTCCTTACTTCCATACTCTTCTTTCCATTTGCTTTTGTTTTCTCTTTACTATTTTTCACTTTAAATGCACAGTTGTGCATTATATGTGAAACAAATACACATCTATGTTTTATAAATTATTATAATATATAATAATATATAAATTATATATTATATGTGAATAAATACACACTATTTAGAGAAGTAATAGTGGATAAAGGATTAATCCTCTGAGACAGTTTGACAGGTTGGTCTGTTCTTATGCATTTCCATAGGCAGACATCGACAAAGAACATCTCTCCACCTCCACCTCACCTCCCCCTTAGAGTGTGCCTTGCATTGGGCAAAGCACTACACCCTGCTCCCTGAAGCAAGTTTTGTGCAGGAAACAGACACCGTCAACTTCAGGTGCAGCCCCACACCCAGGCCGACATTTGGTTTGTGCAGGGAAAACTTCTGAAGCTCCAGGTGTGATTTTGCAGAAGGAGTATTTGTGCTTTTGTCTTTCCCTGAGGCACAGTGACCTTCCCTTGAGCGGGAGCAGCTCTGCTTTCTGCAGCCAGCCCCGGCCGGCACTGAGCTGCAGCTGCCACGCGGTGGCAGAGCCTGGGTACCTTCACCACAGCGCTGCTTCCCAGGAATGCACCGGGAATGATTATCCTCTGCTCAAGGTGACTCTCAAGATGATTTCTTGCCTCCTCATTAATTACTATACATATTTATAGACAAATTAAAGACTCAAACAAATGTTTATTCAATTAATCGCTTCGAGTTCTAGTGGAATAAACAATATCAAACCAACTCACCAGCTCAGGGGCTTATGACAATTTAACACAATTTAATTTTTTTTCTGTTCCTTCTCTGTGGTATCATGTCTCACACAAGAGTTAAAACACCAGAAACTGGCAGAGTTCTTTGCAACAGAAGGAGCATAAGAAGTTCTGAACCATTAACTATTTGCTTCAACTCACAATGAAGACAAAATTGATTTGATGCAATAATCAAGTTAGACTCACTTCTACACTCCTCTCCCAAAGATATGGTGTCTAATCTTTCAGTATTTAGCTGCTAATTCAATTACCAGATTATTGAGAGCAACTACAAAGACAGTGTATGCTACTCACTGTGATTGGATCACGTGAATGAACACAAGGTGCTTCTGAACGCCTGCTTTGTGAGACCCTTCCATTCCCCCACTTCAGAGAAAGCTGCATATTTTATCCTTTAAAGATGTTACAACAGCTGACTCTGTATAGCACATTCTATGTATTTTTAGATCACACCAGGTCAACCAAGCTCCTTTTCCCCTCTCTGCCACACCACTCATGAATCCCCTAATAATGCAGCACAGCTTCGTTCTGCCCTCAGTATTCCAGCCTTGACTTCACAGAGTTTGGCTCGTTTCCTCTATTCAAACCCTGTACAGTTCTCTGCTTTTCAAGTAACGGAGCACTTTGGCTGTGCTAATGCATGTTTGTATTTGCAGTTCTGCCTGGGTTTGCTCCCTGCAGCAGGGCACCCAGCTTCAGGCCAGGCATGCAGTGGGCTGGGCAGGGCTGTGGGAGCCCTCCCTGGTGAGCACAGAGAGCCCCAGGAAGGCCCTGCTGTGCCAATGGCAGGGACTGGCACCATGGCACTGCCTCGCTGACAGCCTGGGCTTGGTGCTTGTCCAGGCTTCTTAACTCCACATTTCCATCACCTTTCTAATGGTAAAGCACCTGAACTAATCAAGAGCCAGCTCTGACGAAGTAGCATGAATGATTTCAAGCACTTCTGCAAAAAGAAAACAAAACCCAAACACATGAATGCCTTTCAAGGCCAGCATGACAAACCCTCTGCAAAGAAAGAAAATTGTGAAGATTACACTATACTTGCTTAGGAATTATTTTTCCTTTATAGGATCTGAATAGGAATACTCATGCTGTGTTCTAATAAAAATAGAATTACAAAGTGAAAAAAGGGCAATTTGCAGGATAAGGATCACTCACAAATTGCAGGAACAGCTCTCAGTCCTTTTCACCTCAGTCCTTTCAGACTTCTGCAGAAACAAAACAGAAGATCCAATAAATTGTTTATGAATTAAAAAAACATATAATCCCATCCTAGGTACTTCTACTCTTCCCCTTTAAATTTTCCACGGAACACTGTTTTTGTAGCTGCCAGTTCTGTGACCTTGCTGGAAGTGGCCAAGCCAGAGATCAATTAGTGAGCACAGAAGAGAGGAGCAGCTTTGCCTGCGTTGTGCTGTCCCTTGGGAGGAGGGCAGATCGTTATCCAGCGGGAGTGCTAACACAGGCTGGGACTAACTGCAAGATGCACAACGCAGCAAAACCGAAAGGAAACAGCAGAATCTCTTTCTTCCTTTGGCTTTCACTTTTTACATTTCTCTATAATTTAAAAATACTTTAATTTTGCAGATAAAAAAACCTTGTTAATGATATCTGCAACAAACATACCATGCTGCCTTCAAACATAAATTATGAAGCAAGCTCCCTAAACCCTCAGGAAATCCCCACTATCCCCCATTTCATAGCCAGGATGACCTAAAGCACAGAAGAATTTAGAGATTTTAGTTTTACACACTACAAACCACAGTGACAGAGAAGGTTAAAAGCACCAGAAGCACCTGAGCTTCCAGGTTTCTAGCAAAGGGCCCCAAGTGCTGAATGCCTTCAGAACACAACTGGGGGGCTTTCCACTAAGGACACAACTGCTGCCTGACACACAGCTGTGCTCTCAGGACTGCAGGAACCCCATCTCTTTAGCATTTAAATGAGTACACAGATATTTCACATAAAACTTAGCCTAAAATAAGCCACCTAAAATAAGCTGATTACTACAGCATTACTACAGTCTGTCTGCTTGCCTTAATTTGCAGGCAACTATAATGCTGCTTGTGAGACACACTATTCCTTAAGTCCTCCCCAAAAAAAACCTGAGAGATCAACAGTTCTTAAATAAGTAATTAGAGCTGAAATAATTTAGGTCATCAAAGAACAAGCAGGATAAATAAAAAGTTATAGTGCTATGGACACTTGCATCAAATAGAATTTTTACATTTATTTAAGTTAACTGATAGGCTGAACACCAGAGCATGAGGCAGAACTGCACAGCACCTGTAACAGGAAAGCCAAATAGGATAGCACATGCACATATTAAAACTATTTGGCAGGTTAATTACAACAAAAAGAATAACCAGGATACAAGATACATCAACAGTGCTCAACTTCACACTCTTAATGCAAGCAAACTTAGATCAAAGATGTGACAGGAAGCTTCTACTCTAAGGTAGGAAGCCAAGTGTAGACAACGTTCTGTGTAAAGAAGCATTTCCACACTGACATGTGCAACGTAGGAAAGTACATGTAAAATATACTCTCCCCAAAATCCAGGTACATTTCTGTTCAAATGCCTAATCTGACCATTTTGGACTTGCACTGGGGCAAGAAAACACTGGGAGATCCTTTACTATAAATTCTTATCACAAAGATAACTATTTGTCCAAACATTTGGACTGTCCACCATTGTTACAGACTGGGCTCAATTTTCCCTTCGAGAGAAATGTGAGACACTTCAAAAGTGATAGTCAGCATTGCAGTCTCCATACCTCCTACGACACAAATCTTTCTTAGTGTTTCAGCACAGCTCATTTGCTAGTCACTGCTCACTGACATCTCCAGCTACTGAATATCCACATTTAGACAACATTTTGGCATATCAGAGTTGATGAAATTTTGAGGTACATGCCTGAAGTCTGGAATATGACTTGTATCTGTTGCAGATCTGTTTTCCAATGATCACATTATGTGACAAAACTGGTTAGCTCAGTAGCAGCTCCATGGGTACATGGAGCGAAGAGTCTCAAATATAGAAAGGTTACTTCTAGTTTATGCAGCTTGAGGGGACAGCACATCATCAGAGACAAAGCAGACTGCAAAGAGGTCTTGGTGCTGGTCAACACCCGTCTGTCACCTCCAGGCTTCAGCATGCTGGACCTTCTCTGTTTGCTCTGGAGCTTCAGCCACTTGGAGATGAACCAACAGGAGGCAGCGTGTTGGTCAACAGTCAACATGAGGCTGACAGTCCACATTCAGTGTTGGGTTTAGGTACTGGTGCCTTCAGGAAACACCCTCACCAGCTTCAGCAAGGTCAGTGTTTTATCCCAAGGGTGCAGCCTGGGAATAGTTTCCAATTGCCACTGAATTCTGGCTCTAGTATGATGAAGTTATAACACTACTTCATTAGAACTAAAATTCTCATTATAGCAAGATTTTTAGATCATATTTCTGACCACAGTTCAAAGTGAGACAATTACAATTATTCCTAAGAGTACCCCACAATCTATTAATGAAAAATTAATCTTGGTAAAGTTTTTTTTTTTTCTTTAAATTATTATAATTGTGCTGTCAGCTGCACTCAAACAAACTCTGATTCAAGTTCTAGGCTTCAGGGTCATGGATAGACACTCAGCTACTGCTTCCACCAAAAAAATACTGATTACCAAGACAGAAACAGATTTGGGAAGGAGAAAACATGCAGTTAAAAAATCAAAGAGGGAAGAAACCAAACCCACTGAGAACAAAAAATTTTTGTACCAGAAACAGATTGAAAACAGAAAGGAAATTAGCATTTAGGAATGAAAAAGGCTATTCACTGTTGATGTTGAATACAACACCCGGGGAGACAGAAGCTGGGTTTATTTTTGATAGCAGCATAAACATTAAAGATAAGCCAACAGCACTTAGAAAATATGGGTGCAGTACAAAGGCTCATGTGATGAGAGCTGTTTTGCTTTTAATCTTGACCTGGAAAACCTCTTGTATGACAGAGCCTCTTTTCAGTGGAGTCAGTCCTGCCTAGTTGCTTTCCCTATTAGTGATAAAAAGGCCACCCAAGTTGTTTCTGCTTTGGAACAATGGCAGGTTTTCAATCTTAAACTTCAAAGGAAAAGGAAAAACCTACCCTAATATATCTGTCTAAGGACCTGCACCAAACTCCTGTCATCCTTTATCTGGTCCAATCACACTCTTCCCCAAAACAATAATCCTTACAACTGTATCTCTGTTTTTCTAGAAAGGATATACATATACCCCCAAATATTTATCTACTTGCCTCTGATATAAATGAAAACACTTATCTCATATTGATATGAGATAAACACAGATCATGTCCTACCCACAAATGGAAAAAGCAGCTGATTTCCAGATTGGTTCAGCATGTCTACAAGTGCAGTAACACAGAAGTGCAAACCACATCAACCACAATCATTGGAAGGGCTCGGTGATCACAGAATCACACCTCAAATGTGTATTACAAACTATAAAGACTGAAAACCGTGAAGCTCTTTGAAGTTCAGTCCTGCTTTGGATGTCTGTTCACACAGTCCAGGCATGCCAAGAGAGGAGAGCTGCAGGTCAGTGCTCAGTCTTTGGAACTTCACACCCTTAAATTGCAGTGTCCAACTTGTTGCATACGATACTGCCAACCCCACAGGCTCAGTGACAACAGGACCTTAGAATCTTCTTTCTGCCCCTTTTCCCACACAGCAGAGATGCCCTGCACCCAGCTGCAGTCCTCCATTCCCATAGGCACAACAGGCACACTTTTATTCACAACAGAAGTGTTGAAGTTCAGATGAAGTACCAACACTCCATGTTGATATGTCATGTTACACCATGTAACAGCTCAGGAGACTTCACACGACCATATAGGGCATCACCTTAATTAGAAACTGTAATTAAATGCCCACTGAAGGTTGGTAATATCATTTGCTTCCAGGCCTTCTTATTTCAAGAGGAACGCTCTGTTGGGTCAGATCAATTCTCCCGTGGAGCCAGGTGCTGTCCCTCAAAGCTATGTTTACTGCTTTGAGTTTTGTCATGGCCACCAGAAGAAAAGTTTTACACATTCAGCAGTTGCCAGATGGGCTGAGAACACAACCAGAGCACTGAGGGCAGCACAGTCTACACAACAACTGAGCTGTCAGGAATGCCAAGCTACACTGCACTCTGTCCTGAACAGCACCTATAAAAATCAAATTAAAGCACTCATGTTTACAAACGTTTTAGGAAGCTGAAACCTGTGGTGACCTGCTGGCCTGCAGGTCTGCCACCACAGACACTGCCCCAGGGTGGCTCTGGCCAAAGCAGGTAAGGGTGGGATGGTGTGACAGGGCCTCACCACAGGGGCTGACAGGTGAGCGCTGCTTCGCTCAAGAGCAATTCACGTGCTGGTTTAAGGAACACTCAGTACCACAACTCTGCAAAGCTGAGACACCTCAAACAAGAAAGTGAAATCAGAAAATTAAAAACTAGAGCAGCACATATTGAGACATGCACTTTTTTTTTAACCTAGACCTTTGTTGTTTTTAATAATTGATATAAAGTAACAGATGACTCACTAATTGCACTTCTAAATTGTAACCCAACCTGGAATCAATCACACATGGCATAACTTCTGTTCTTATTTGAAGCTAAATCCACCACAGTGCCTGCAGTAGCCGCTCTAATAATTGCATTAGTCATAACCTAAAAGTATTTCCCATTTCCTTAGTTCCAGTTTTGCTTGCTTTTCAAGCTGATCCTCATCCCTATTGCTTAAAAGATCTCTGAAATGTTACCCTGCAGAGCCTGTTCTGGGACTTGAGGAGCCCTGTGCAACATTTCATGGTGTGATTCCTCCTGTCCTGGTGTCTAATTTTCCTCCAATACCATTTTATCTCCTTTGCTCTAGCTCAAAGTCAGAGAATCATTCAGGGTTGCAACAGACACTAGCAAGCACTGTGTAAAACTTGGTAGAGAGTTAGGTACACAAATGACTGCCAGCATAAATTGTGTCATGTTTTGGTCTGCAGCACAAAGTCTCAGTTTTAAAGTATCCTCTACACTGGATACTTACCTGCTCAGTTCTCTCCCTTCTATGCCTGAGATACATTTTAAAATAAAAATAAATATAGATCTTGTAAGGATTTTTCAAAATAAAACTCTCTGCTATATCAATCTTATGAGACTAATTTCCCATGTAAAGACAGCTTTTCCTATGAAGGTTTTTAAAATACATGCACGTAAAGTTATTTTTTACAATTTAAAGTCTGTCCTCAGCTATCTTTGCACAAATCCCATTAACTTTAGTACAAGTTTAAAGGCAGAATTTGAAACTCGTAAACAACTGGGTCACCGAACAATGCTAAGTCTCAAATAGAGATTTCTGAGTTATAACAAGAAAAAATCCCTCTTCCCTTGGGCAATACACAAGCATTCCCATTTGTCTGTAAACAATACCAAACACTTGAAATTTGACAGGCTGCATTTCATCCTTACTCAGGTAGGGGTTTCCCCTGTCCTGTAGCTAATGGCCACTTAGTGCTCAGTGGAGCATTTGGGGCCAACACTGCATTCCCCAGTGCCTGCTTCACTCCAGCCTTCTCACTGGCACCGATCAGCAACTCCTCACAGAGGGCCCCCCCGTTTGTCTGAGGGGTGCAGGTAACATTCAAGCACACATGACAGTGTCTTAACTATTTCTGTGAAAAAAATCTGTAGGAAACACACATTATTTCCATCGTAGTTATATACTTTAAAAAAAATCATTATTTCTATGCCAGTATTTTGTCCCAAGAAAGAGCATAATTATTGTTAACTACTTAAACTTTCACCAAGGTAACTCTTAATTCCATGTTGCTTTTGGTATAATTCAATCCCCATCCTTTATTGACAATACTTGGAGCTATAAATTCAATTTTCTTCCTTTTTATTCCACGAAGCCTAAAGACAGATGTTAACTTTTTTTCAAGCCTCAGATGTTCTTTTCCTTGTTAAATGTATATCCTTGTACTGCAGCACCAAAGCTCTTCCAATCTCCTGTATTCCAAATTAATCCATCAATCCCCTTTCCTCTGTGTTTTTGCCCTTGGTAAATCATTAGCCCAAGGGAGAACTCAACAGAAAAATTCAAGATTTCACTCAGACCACAGCTGAAAACATCCTTCTTGTACCTCTGCAATAATTTCACTACCTGAGGTGCCATCTCTTACAGATTTTCCCCTCCTCACTACATTTCCAGCTGCACTGCACAGCCACTCATTTCACAGCTGCCCCTTCCCATCCCACCATCCCCCCAGCAGCCATTCTCCAGGCTGTATTTGTGCTGTGTCTCCATTTGATGCAATCAATTTCAGATAAAACTGTTCTCATGTTTAGTCCTTGGACCAGTCCTTGATTTCCAGCTATTATCTTCTGCCTCTTTACAAGGCCCGCACAAATATTTTAAGGTCACACAGGAGATTTGGCTAAATTCATTCATCGCTTTGAAATCTCTCGATTCAAGACTTGAAAGCAGTAACTGAGATTTCTCATATTTGTTTCTCTTTTCAATCCTCAAGCATGACAAGATAAAAGTCTGTTACAAAGGCAGAGCAATGTCTTACTGTTCAGAACCAGGGTGACACTTCAGCCACAAGCTTGCAAAGGAGTACACAAAATGTAAGTCTAATTGGAACAAGGTGGACCTTTCCCTGCATATAAAATTATTACTGCACACATGCATTCCACTTCCACTTTAATGCTGAAATCACCCTTTTGAATGAAAGTTACTGTTTCACTTCAGCACCACAAATCTCCTGATCCTACAGCCTTTGGCCAAAGTTCCCTCAGGGGCTGCTTCAACAGAGCACATTGTGTACTGATTATTTTGGAATAAAGCTCCGCAGTCTTTCATCTTCACAGCCTGTATAAAACCAGTTTTGAAAAGTATAAAAAGTGATATTCAATATGATTGCCATGCACTTGTACACTGGAAGCTGAGTTTGAAAAGGCACTTAACCTAGAAAATCTGGCAGAAATTGTGAAGCACTCAAGCGACTGTATTGGCCATTTGAGTGTTGAAGCACATGGAATGCTGAAGGATTATGAAGTCTATAACTGTTCTATGTAACGCACATACAAAGAAGAAAGAAAATCCATCGGACTCTGCCCTCTCTCTCCTCATACCTAAAGGTTCTGCTCATCAGGGCTGCCTTGGAGCGCGATGAACATCAGCTCTGGGAGCTCTCTCCACCTCCACTGCAGTGCCCATCTGCTCTAGCACAGCCACCTGTCTGGGATTGGGAAGAATTATTGCAGGGAACTGAAAACTAACTTAAACCCATTTGTCTTTTTCAGTCTTGATCCCTAGAAGAGAAATATGGAAATGATTGACCACCACACTCCTTCTGCAGCCCAACCTGCCCAAACACACCATGAAGGTACCTTGATTTGTCCTCAGACACAGAGGATTCCACAAGGAGATCAACTGCTCAAATGGAAACCCTATTCGTCAACTCAGTTTAGGAACCTACTCTTCCTGCACCGCTTTGGATTTGGCAGGGGGATATGAAACCCCTTATAAAACCAAGGGGCCGAGGCCCTGTCGCACCCCTGCCCTGGACCCTCCCCTCAGCCCTGCCCCGCGCCCCTCTCAGCCGGCGGGGCCGGGGCTGCCGGAGCTATTCACGCTCGCGGCCGGGGCCGGGGCCTCTATAGCGGCGGTGCCGCCGCATTGCCGGTGTCCGCCGCGGAGCCCCG